TGTTTTCGGCCTACAACTCCCATGATCCCTAGCTAGCAGGACCAGTGGTCAGGGATGATGGGAATTGTAGTCTCAAAACATCTGGAAGGCTGAGGTTGAGGAAGCCTGGCCTAGTTAGTGCTTTCCCAGCTTTGGAAAGGAAGCAGGAGGGCTCTGGGACCCTTCCAGAGCCTCACACCTACTTCTCCAAGCCCGGTGACTTGCTTAGCCCTCTTTGGAAGGGCAGCGTAAGGGCTGGGGGTGGAGCCATCAGACTTTGGCCCCGCTCCTCCCCCCCACATGTGACAAGGCAGTGTCCCTGGTCTCGGATTCTGCCAGTCATTTCCGCCAATTCCATGTAGTCAATCACCTTCATCTGCCATTCTTCCAGAGTGGGTAGATCTTGTGTCTTCCCATTCTTTGCAATGAGTATTCTTGCTGCTGTTGTGGCATACATAAAAAAAGTTCTATCCTTCTTTGGCACCAATTGGCCGACTATGCCCAGGAGAAAGGCCTCTGGTTTCTTCAAGAAGGTATATTTAAATACCTTTTTCAGTTCATTATATATCATTTCCCAGAAAGCCTTAATCCTTGGGCACGTCCACCAAAGGTGAAAGAATGTACCTTCAGTTTCTTTACATTTCCAACATTTGTTATTGGGCAAATGATAAATTTTTGCAAGCTTGACTGGGGTCATCTACCACCTGTATATTATTTTCATAATATTCTCTCTTAAAGCATTACATGCCGTAAACTTCATACCTGTGGTCCACAACTGTTCCCAGTCAGCAAACATAATGTTATGTCCAACATCTTGTGCCCATTTAATCATAGCGGATTTCACCGTTTCATCCTGAGTATTCCATTTCAACAGCAAGTTATACATCTTTGACAAAATCTTAGTTTTGGGTTCTAACAGTTCTGTTTCTAATTTTGATTTTTCCACCTGGAAGCCAATTTTCTTGTCCAAATTATATGCCTCCATTATCTGATAATAATGAAGCCAGTCTCGCACTTTATTTTTTAGTTTCTCAAAACTCTGCAGTTCCAGTCTATCTCCATCTTGTTCCAAAATTTCCCAATATTTCGGCCAATTGGCCTCCATATTGAGCCTTTTCAGAGCTTTTGCTTCCATCGGTGACAGCCACCTTGGGGTTTTGTTTTCCAATAAATCCTTGTATCTTATCCAAACATTAAACAATGCTTTCCTGACAATATGGTTTTTAAATGCTTTATGCGCTTTGACCTTGTCATACCACAGATATGCATGCCATCCAAATACATTGTTAAAACCTTCTAAGTCCAAAATGTCTGTGTTTCCAAGAAGTAGCCATTCTTTCAACCAGCAAAAAGCTGCTGATTCATAGTAAAGTTTAAAGTCTGGCAGGGCAAATCCACCCCTTTCCTTTGCATCAGTTAATATCTTAAATTTTATTCTGGGCTTCTTGCCCTGCCAGACAAATCTAGAAATATCTCTCTGCCACTTCTTGAAACAATCCATCTTGTCCATAATTTGCAATGTTTGAAACAAAAACAGCATTCTAGGCAATACATTCATTTTTATCGCAGCAATACGACCCAACAGTGAAAGCTTCAAATTTGACCAAATTTCTAAATCTTTTTTCACTTCCGTCCAACATTTTTCATAATTATCTTTAAATAAGTTCCCATTTTTGGCTGTCATATTAATCCCCAGGTCCAACACTGTCCAACCATCTCGTCCTCTGCCGTCCCCTTCTCCTTGTGCCCTCCATCTTTCCCAACATCAGGGTCTTTTCCAGGGAGTCTTCTCTTCTCATGAGGTGGCCAAAGTATTGGAGCCTCAGCTTCAGGATCTGTCCTTCCAGTGAGCACTCAGGGCTGATTTCCTTCAGAATGGATAGGTTTGATCTTCTTGCAGTCCATGGGACTCTCAAGAGTCTCCTCCAACACCATAATTCAAAAGCATCCATTCTTCGGCGATCAGCCTTCTTTATGGTCCAGCTCTCACTTCCATACATCACTACTGGGAAAACCATAGCTTTAACTATACGGACCTTTGTTGGCAAGGTGAGGCCTTATAGTTTAGGAAAACCCCCCGATGATAACTGACAAGAGAAATTTACAAAAGTCTGCATGGTTTGATTGCTGAATTGCATTGCAAAGGAACCGCTAGGCGAAGCAGCTACAGAACGTTAACGAATGAAATGTCTTATTACAAGAAATTGTGGGAGGGAACGATAATCCTTAAAAATACAAACAAACAAAAAACTAACTTAAATGTGGACATTGTTTTATTTCCCCCACACTGGACTGGTAAAACTCAATATAAAAACACGGGGGAAGCAGTAATCTAAGAAGCAATATAAGGACAAATCATAAAGACTGAAAACAGATCTATTCATATGTGAAATAAGGACAGTAATTGATTATTGGAGAATCTTGTCCCTTCATTAAGCAGAGCAGAAAACCTCCTCTGGTAATGGCATGGCTATGATTTTCAATAGATAATTTTAGAAGATGGAATGCTCTCATAATGTCTTGTAATAATTGTAATACATATATGTGTTTGAGCTCCCCCCACCGCGGTCGAAATCTCTCCTATTACTAGAAATTGGGATCATTGAATAGAATTCATTGGTAGGAGATTCAGTCAGAATCACTTCCCAGGCTCCTGGCTACTGCCACATGCCAAGAGCTTCTCGGGGTCACAGGTGAGAGATGAGTGCAGGATGAGGTCCTAAGGTGGAGAAACTATCCCCAGAAGGAGCATGACATGTCCCCCACCAGAGGTACGACCCGTCCCCTAACACCCCATACAGTTATATAACCAGGGATTATATAACTATTTAAAAAATTGCATACCGCCATACATTTAAAAAGTTAAAGCATTTTCCTAGATTGGAGTTGAGTCCAGCAGTATCTAAGGGCACCATGTTCCCCACCCCAACTTTCAGGAATGTGAAAATGGCATTTGAAGATTTACAGCGCAGTCCTATACCTCTCTGGGACACGGGTGGTGCTGTGGGTTAAATCACAGAGCCTAGGACTTGCCAATCAGAAGGTCGGCGGTTCGAATCCCTACGATGGGGTGAGCTCCCATTGCTCGGTCCCTGCTCCTGCCAACCTAGCAGTTTGAAAGCATGGCTTGAGAGCAGTACATGTGAAAAGGATCTAGGAGTCTTGGTTGACCACAAGCTTGACATGAGCCAACAGTGTGATGTGGCAGCTAAAAAAGCCAATGCAATTCTGGGCTGCATCAATAGGAGTATAGCATCTAGATCAAGGGAAGTAATAGTGCCACTGTATTCTGCTCTGGTCAGACCTCACCTGGAGTACTGTGTCCAGTTCTGGGCACCACAGTTCAAGAAGGACACTGACAAACTGGAACGTGTCCAGAGGAGGGCAACCAAAATGGTCAAAGGCCTGGAAACGATGCCTTATGAGGAACGGCTAAGGGAGCTGGGCATGTTTAGCCTGGAGAAGAGGAGGTTAAGGGGTGATATGATAGCCATGTTCCAATATATAAAAGGATGTCACATAGAGGAGGGAGAAAGGTTGTTTTCTGCTGCTCCAGAGAAGCGGACACGGAGCAATGGATCCAAACTACAAGAAAGAAGATTCCACCTAAACATTAGGAAGAACTTCCTGACAGTAAGAGCTGTTCGACAGTGGAATTTGCTGCCAAGGAGTGTGGTGGAGTCTCCTTCTTTGGAGGTCTTTAAGCAGAGGCTTGAAAACCATATGTCAGGAGTGCTCTGATGGTGTTTCCTGCTTGGCAGGGGGTTGGACTCGATGGCCCTTGTGGTCTCTTCCAACTCTATGATTCTATGATTCTATGTCAAAGTGCAAGTAGATAAATAGGTACAGCTCCGGCGGGAAGGTAAACGGCGTTTCCGTGCGCTGCTCTGGTTCACCAGAAGCGGCTTAGTCATGCTGGCCACATGACCCGGAAGCTGTACGCCGGCTCCCTTGGCCAATAAAGCGAGATGAGCGCCGCAACCCCAGAGTCGGTCATGACTGGACCTAATGGTCAGGGGTCCCTTTACCTTTACCTATACCTCTCTAGATATAGTCTCATTCAGTTCAGTGGAGCTAAGTCCCAGGTGAGTGGGGACAGGATTTCTATGGCAAAAAAAAACCTCACCAATGATTTTGCACCAAATTTTCGAAGTTTCAAAGGTTTGACCCTGAGAATGGAAATCTATGCTGACGTCCCAGAGTCAGATACCAAAATTTGCAAATGTGTGCCTGTTTGGGGTGGTTCCATAAATGAATGAACGAACAACTGAATGGAGGAGTTAATATCAAATGTTCCCACTGACGGTGCGAGTCACCTGCCAAATCCTGACAAATATTTTGACTGCTACCAGTGTCTGCCAGCTGTCAGAGATATGGTCTCAACATAAGGAGCAGCTGCTGCAAAATCTTAGGGTGTCGAATGCTGATGCTGAACAGAAAACATTTATTCCACCAGGCTTTAAAACTCTTCATAGTTTAAAGCCATTTCTAGTCTTATTGTATTGGGTGTATTGCACACCACTTAGGACTGTGATTAAGCAAATTGAATAAAATAAAATAAATGATTATTTACAGAGGATTTTTAGAAGAAGAAGAAGAAGAAGAAGAAGAAGAAGAAGAAGAAGAAGAAGAAGAAGGGTTTGGATTTGATATCCCGCTTTATCACTACCCAAAGGAGTCTCAAAGCGGCTAACAATCTCCTTTTCCTTCCTCCCCCACAACAAACACTCTGTGAGGTGAGTGGGGCTGAGAGACTTCAGAGAAGTGTGACTAGCCCAAGGTCACCCAGCAGCTGCATGTGGAGGAGCGGGGAATCGAACCCGGTTCACCAGATTACGAGTCCACTGTTCTTAACCACTACACCACACCGGCTCTCTTGACCTTGTTCTCCTCCCCACTGCAGGAACGTCAGAAGCAGCATTATACTGAGTCAGACCACTGGCCCATCTAGCTTTCTACTGTCTACATTGTTTGGCAGTGGCTCTCTAGGGCTGCAGACCAGGATCTCTCCCTGCCCTTCCTGGAGCTGCCTGAGATTGAACATGGGGCCTTCTGCATGCAGGGCAAATGCTCTACCACTGAGCTGTGGCCCTTCCCCATCACAGCTGGTAGCACTAAGGGTACCCAATGATCATGGCACCATCATGGCACCAATTTCCAAGTGGTGTGAGATTCCAGAGGTCCGTGTCTTTGTGTTTCCTTTGGAACTGAGGCACAGTGGAGAATGTGGTCTCTTTATAGTATGTGATCTAGTTACACACACATATACAGTGGTGCCTCGCAAGACGAAATTAATTCGTTCCGCGAGTTTTTTTGTCTAGCGAATTTTTCGTCTTGTAAAGCACGAAATCCCATAGGAATGCATTGAAATTCAATTAATGCGTTCCTATGGTCAAAAAAAGTCCAAACAAAGCCAAATTTGGTACAACAAGAGTTTATTAAGTGCTCTTTAAAGTCACACATACTGTAAAGAGCATTTCAAAAACTGAAGGAACAATAAATTAAGTTTCTAAACATGACAGAAAAACATTTAAAAATCAACAAAGTGTACAGTACATTTTCTAAGACTCTGGGGGACAACTCGAAGAAGGTTCCTCTTCCACTCTTTGCTTCTTGCTGAAGAACCCCCTCCTCAACTGTTCCCCCAGCCACCCACCACACAGAAATTCAAATCAAATTCAAATTTTAAAAAACAGCAGAGTGGCCCAATGGTCACAGAAAATCATAAAAATGCAGAAAAAAAACACACAAGCTTCCAGATTCTTGCAAACCCCTCCCCAACACCAAGTCCTTGAATTCCAAACACCCCAACCCAAAATCCAAAACCCCCCCAAAAAGTTTTAAAAGTTTAACTTACCAAATGGCTGCAAAAGCTTCAAAAATCACCAAAGTCTTCAAAAACCTCAAAAAAGGCTACCACACCGCGTTCTATGAGTTGCTCCTCGAAGTCAAGTCGCAACTGTATTAACGGTGTTAAGAAAAAGGAAACAAACTTGCAAGACATTTTCGTTTTCCGTCTTGCGAAGCAAGCCCATAGGGAAATTCGTCTTGCGAAGCAGCTCAAAAAACGCAAAACCCTTTCGTCTAGCGAGTTTTTCGTCTTGCGAGGCATTCGTCTTGCGGGGCACCACTGTATATACAGTGCTTTTTTTCCTAAATAAAATATTTAGGGGTACTCTCATTTTGACTCAAGAAAACCATCATTTTATAATTAAAATTGGGGGGGGGATACAGTAAATACAATAAAACTGCCCAATTGCCATGCTAGATTCCAATTCCTACTTCACACATTAAACGCTCACTTCCATCTGAGATTCAGGAAACATCGTGACAGAAATGAGGCCACCATCAGGGGGTAGCAATGGAACTGATGATTCACTGTGCCAAAATTTTTAGTTTCTTCTCCTGTTAGATTCAAAAAATGTTTAGGGGTATGCGTCCCCCTGCATCCCCTCAGAAAAAAAGCACTGTATCTAAAAAAGTAAAGGACCCCTGGACGGTTAAGTCCAGTCAAAGGCAACTATGGGGAGCAGCGCTCATCTCGCTTTCAGGCCGAGGGTGCTGGCGTTTGTCCAGAAAGCTTTTGGGTCATGTGGCCAGCATGACTAAACTGCTTCTGGTGCAATGTAACACTGTGATAGAAGTCAGAGTGCACGGAAACGCCATTTACCTTCCCGCCGCAGTGGTACCTATTTATCTATTTGCTCTGGCATGCTTTCGAACTGCTAGGTTGGTAGGAGCTGGGACAGAGCAATGGGAGCTCACTCCATCGCAGGGATTCGAACCACCGACCTTCTGATCGGCAAGCCCAAGAGGCTCAGTGGTTTAGACCACAGTGCCACCTGCATCCTGTTTCTCTCATGGCTGCAACATTGGATTCAAACTGTCAGCTCACATGGTGCTCTGACACCGCCTTCTGCTAGCCGCTGCTAACAGACTGAAACAATTTTCTTTCTGCCTGCATCAGGCAAACTGCAATCCTGAAAACTATCACCAGGCTGGCTTGGCTGTTTTTAACAACAACAACAACAACAACAACAACAGCTGAATTCAAAGTTTCAGTGTTTGGCACAGTTTAACTTCCCAAACCTTGATTAATTCTAACTTAGATTGTTCCCAGGAATTCAGAGTGTCTCACACCCCACAAACGCATCACAATACAGAACTGAAGGATTTCCTGCATGGAATGGCTTTGAGGATGGTTGAAAAGTACACACGTTGTGTAATTTCACTTCTCATGCTAAAGTGATCTGGCCTTCTCCCTTCCTCAAAACCACACAGAGTTCCTTGCGGGGAGCAAAGCAGGGTACAAGTATGGCACATAAATATTCAGGCGGCCCCAGTGATGAGATACTTTGTCCAGATGGATTTTCTCCTGGACCCGTTTGGAAGGAAAGGAATTAGACCCCTGGGCTCCAGGTTCACACCAATTCTGGAACCAGATTTATAGGAGCAATTTGCAGGTGGCAAGGGAGAGGAAAAAAACCCGTACATCTCTTCTTTAACATCTCTGTATCCCTCCCAATGCTCAACTACATCCATCATTTTGTGACGTGCGTGGAGTGTAAATCCAACAGCTACCTGGGATTATTATTCCAGAGGAGTCTGTGGAAGAGCAATGATACCTACAGGCTTTTGGACTTTTCTCACCAGCTCTAACCCTCCCAAGATCAAGGCACTGAAAGCGTTTTGCAGCCTCGGGCAACTGTCTGTTCTTTGTCTGCTGAACAACTGGCCCCAGAGAAGGACATCACATTGCTGCCTCATGCCACAAGCCTGCGAAAGGGAATTGCATCGCTCATAAATATCATGAGGCTGACACATCTGGAAGCTTGAAAGGCTGACTCTGTGGGGACTCTGGGATGTTTACAGGAGCCATGGAACTGAGAAGCATTAGTTCTGAGAGCAGACAAGCTGAGTGTGGCTTGGGGATCTCGCCTTGACTCAGCCAATGCCTCCCCTTTTCTTTTTAGAGTGATAGTCTTTGAAATAATGCACGAGATCTAATAAAAACAAACTTTTGGAAGTGTCTTGCAGAAAAAGTTACCTCATTGGTAGCATTGGACAACTCACTGGTAGCATTAGACAACTGGGGGTTGGAAGGAATGCCTTGCTAATCTACTGCAAATCACCCAGAGAACGATTTGCAGTGGGAGAAGAGAGCTCAGGTGGTAGAGCCTGAGACTTCATCTCAGGGCGATGGGTTCAAGACCCACGTTGAGCAAAAGATTCCTGCGTTGCGGGAGGTTGCACTAGATGATCCTCACGGTCCCTTTCAACTCTACGATGCCATGTTGTTGTTGTTTTACAATTCATTGATCTACTTGTTAGGATATTGATGTTCCGTTCCACCCTAAGACGAACAGATACAGTGGTACCTCTGGTTACATACTTAATTCATTCTGGAGGTCCATTCTTAACCTGAAACTGTTCTTAACCTGAAGCACCACTTTAGCTAATGGGGCCTTCTGCTGCTGCCGTGCCGCCAGAGTACGATTTCTGTTCTCATCCTGAAGCAAAGTTCTTAAACCGAGGTATTATTTCTGGATTAGCAGAGTCTGTAACCTGAAGCTTATGTAACCTGAAGCATATGTAACCTGAGGTACCACTGTATTTTGATTGTTGTATGTCACATGTCTGTTTACATTCCAGCACAGCTTGCTGGGAACTTCCGTTTGTGTATAGCTTTTGCTTAGTGCTTCCTGCTCTTAGACATGAAGGAGAGCAGACATGTTTTCTTTGTCTTGATCTATGCTGAATAAACCGCTTGTAAATATGCTTTAAATATGCCTCTGTCCGCCCTTCCATTGTGAAGAGTTAATTACTCTGCTGATTAGAGCGTGCTCCAGCTTCTGAAGAGATCTGAAGCTGTGGGTCACTGTTTGATGCTGTTCCGGGGACCGGAGTTCGCCCGGCTACCGGCCGGCGGGCTGGAGCCAGCAGGGGGCCTGCCTGATGCCCCTGTTCCCTTGGACGCATCGCAACACTACTAATGAATCCCCATCTATTATCTACCCACCCCGGTATCAGAGGCCTTGATTTCATTATTTACTCCCAGTTGCAAGCAATGCTAAGGGCCAGCTTGGGAATTTTCTCATTAGACTGCAGTTAGAAGAGCACCATTAGATTTTTTAAGCCTCTCAATTGTCCCTAAATATATACCCATATACAGGGGAGAGGAACCTATGGCCCTCCAGGTCTTGTTTGACTCCAGTTCATATACATTCCAACCGTATAGCCATTGGTCAAGGAGGATGCCCTGGATGTGGGCATTCTGGCAGAATGATGATGGGTTTTAGCTGGCTGTTAGGAACATCTTCATAGAATAACAGAATTGTAGACTTGGAAGGGACCCTGAAGGCCATCTAGTGCAGGCTTCCTCAACTTCGGCCCTCCAGATATTTTTGGCCTACAACTCCTATGATCCCTAGCTAGCAGGACCAGTGGTCAAGGACGATGGGAATTGTAGTCTCAAAACATCTGGAGGGCTGAGGTTGAGGAAGCCTGATCTAGCGCAACCCCCTGCAATGCAGGAGTCTCAACTAAAGCATCCATGACCTCATATGGAGACTTATATTGAATCAGACCATTGGTCCATCTAGCTCAATAATGCCTACATTGGTTGGCAGTAGCTCTCCAGGGTTTCAGACCAGGGTCTCTCCTGGTCTCATACCTGGTCTCATACCTGGTCTCTCCAGCGTCTCATACCTGGAGATGACAGAGATTGAACCTGGAACCGTCTGCATGGAAAGCTTCTATCACTGCTGTGTAGAAGCCCACTGCTATCATCACTAAAGAGGTGGAATGGGGTGCGGACAGAGTGTGTAGAACAGGGGTCAGCAAACCTTTTCAGCAGGGGGCCAGTCCACTGTCCCTCAGACCTTGTGGGGGGGGGCAGACTATATTTTTTTGGGGGGGGGAATGAATGAATTCCTATGGCCCACAAATAACCCAGAGATGCATTTTAAATAAAAGCCCACATTCTACTCATGTAAAAACACACTGATTCCTGGACCATCTGCAGGCTGGATTTAGAAGGTGATTGGGCTGGATCTGGCCCCTAGGCCTTAGTTTGCCTACCCATGGTGTAGAAAATGAAGAAGTCACCCACCAGCTGTCCTTGAGAGCCAGTGTGGTGTAGTGGTTAAGAGCGGTGGACTCGTAATCTGGGGAACCAGGTTCGCTTCCCCGCTCCTCCACATGCAGCTGCTGGGTGACCTTGGGCCAGTCACACTTCTCTGAAGTCTCTCAGCCTCACTCACCTCACAGAGTGTTTGTTGTGGGGGAGGAAGGGAAAGGAGAATGTTAGCCGCTTTGAGACTCCTTCGGGTAGTGATAAAGCGGGATATCAAATCCAAACTCCTCCTCCTCTTCAAAATGGTCCCCTCTGTTTTAGCTCCTCTGTTTTTATCCTGCCCTGAATCAAGCCAAACACCTGAAATGTGTCTGAATAGAGCTGTAATTCCAACCACTAGCAGCAACCCTGCTGTTTGAGGTTTCTCCCCTCCGCAATCTTATTCCAGAACAAAAGGATGGTGAGTCATGAGCCTCTGATCTTGCCAAGGGCTGTGGGCTTTCTTTCAGAACGCTTCAAGCTTCCATTCGCTCCCCAGGCTCAGAGATCAAGCAAGCAAGCCCCCGGCTTGTCTGGGAAAGATTGGTGTCACGGGGACTGATGCTGGAGAGGATTCCGTTCACTCTTTTTCTGTCCGCAGCCAGATGTGATTGGTTTTGTTTCTGATGAAGTCAAATAATCTAGCAAGACTTGCATAAGCCGCGTAAGAATTTGCACAATTTATTCTGCCTTTGATGAAGATGTAGCAAGCAAGGAGGGTCCAGTGAGTTTCAGGGCTGCAGAGCCTACACAGATTTACCTGGCTTCATTGAACTCAATAGGGACGCGGGTGGTGCTGTGGGTTAAACCACAGAGCCTAGGACTTGCTGATCTGAAGGTCGGCGGTTCGAAATCCCGCGACGGGGTGCGCTCCCGTTGCTCAGTCCCAGCTCCTGTCAACCAAGCAGTTTGAAAGCACGTCAAAGTGCAAGTAGATAAATAGGTACTGCTCCAGCGGGAAGGTAAACGGCTTTTCCGTGTGCTGCTCTGGTTCGCCAGAAGCGGCTTAGTCATGCTGGCCACATGACCGAGAAGCTGTATGCCAGCTCCCTTGGCCAATAAAGTGAGATGAGCGCCGCAACCCCAGAGTTGGCCATGACTGGACCTAATGGTCAGGGGTCCCTTTACCTTTACCTTTACATTGAACTCAATGGCACTTACTTCCAAGTAATCGCCTACAGGATTGAGCTGTTGATGTGTATACAGAAACAGGCTTCCATGAACAAATCTTCTGTACTAGGTGCCTACAGGGGAAAACAAGTGTGTGTATCAGGAATAACTTTCTGACAGCAAGAGCTGCTAGACAGCGGAAGGGTCTCCTTTGGGAGTTTGTGGATTCTCCTTCCTTGGAGATTTACAAGCAGAGGCTGGATGGCCATCAGTCATGGATGCTTTAGCTGAGATTCCTGCATTGCAGGGGGCTGGACTAGATGACCCTTACAACTCTAAGATGCTATGATTCTATGATCTATAGCATATGGATATTTCACCCCTCCCATTGCAAGAATCTCATGATGTTGCGTGGCGAGTTCCCGCCTCGCCCCACTGGAAATAAAGACACATGGCACAGATATTTAAGGTTAATGGGCTAAATAAGGCCACAACTTTATTGGTTACAGGTGATGAGCGGTATTGGCTTAGGCATTGGTCTTAACCGACTATCCGGCTTCAGCCTGTTCGCTTGAAGTCTGGGAAGGGTTAACCACCAGTAGGGGGAGTCCTGCTGATGCACATCAACTAGGAACTCCCCCGGGGTCACCGCTTGGGGGCCTGCCTTGGGCCCTCACCTCCATAGGCTTCAGACAGGGCCACCCCCCCCGAATCCTTTAACGGACTACCCTTCAATATGCGGGGCAGGTGATGGCGCTAACTCCCCTCTTCCATCTACATAACAATACCAATACCAATACCAATGCCTAACCGCCAATACCAAGGAAGTTGTGACGATTTGCTACGAGGTAGGTGAAAAACCAAGTGGCTGGTGCCAATTTGCCAAGTGGAAAAAAATTCCTACCAGGCCCCTTAACGGTGACCAACCAAGGTCCATAGCAGGGTCAAAGACGAAAACCTTAAAGGGTGGGAAACTGGAGCAGCTGGAAGCGGCAAAGAGGGAGATCCCTGGCCACCCCTGCGTTAAATGGAACAGGCCACGCCCCCAGGCCAGCCAATCGGCTGGCCAGGGGATGACGTGATCGGGGATTCCCTCAATAGCACGGAGGCTGTGAGCCAGCCCCCACGTATATGGTGGGAGGGTGAAGCCCACAACCCCACTTCCTTTCTACGTCGGAAGTGTCTTTTTCAGAAAGGAGGGGGCAGAATCTGCTCATTGCTTCTTCCGCTCTTGCCCGACTCTGTGGGAGTCTGAGTGTAATCTGTGTAGAGATAAGATGACTGCATAAGAAACTGTAACACTCATGCAGTCCGGTAGCCTCCGTTAGTCTTTAGTTTATAGTTTATTTTTAGTTTGCAGTAGCTGTAACAGAATAAAGAAGTTAAGCTTCAGAGCTGTTGTTCGTGTAATTCATACTCTGCTGTGCTCTGCTGACTTTGGTGCTCAAAGTTGTGAGTCCATTGCACTTAGACCTGCTCTCCTGCAGTGGAAGGTCTCTGGAAGTGCTGGCCCAGTCGGGGCTGAAGAGGTTGAGCCCAGTCGTTGGCTCCGGCTCAAAGGCGAAGCTCACATAGCAGTCCCTGGCATAATTCCATGGAACAGTGGTGGAGAACCTTTTCCAGTCATTGGCAGGATCCAGGATCCCACTATACTCAGGAGGCCATTTTGACAGTTGGGTGGAGTCATAGGTATAATGTCAGAACATTGGCGGATGCTGTGGTGAGACGGTGGTGCTTACCTGACCTCCTGGCAGTGGAGTCATTGCTGCTTGCTGTGAGGTAGAGGGGAAGGGCTGAGGTCAGTATGGTGCAAATGCTGTCCACCACCTTGCCCGCTACTATCGAAGTGGCATATTCCCCTCAAATCCTGAGGGAAAACGGAATCCAAGTGTTTAACAACGTCATGGGATTCCCACCACTTGGGGACAAAGTTGCCGTATTTTTCGCCCTATAGGACGCACCGTCCCATAAGGCGCACCTAGTTTTTTGGGGGGGAAATA